GTGGCCTTCCTCATGCAGCTGGAGGATTCCACACCCACGGTACGCGGGCCGCGCGCAGGTGACGGGCTGCCGCGGGGAAGCGGAGTTCCTCCAGCTTTTCTCTTGCACAGATCCCGGATGCGGTCACGGGCTATTACCTCAACAGAGCGGGATTCGAGGCCTCGGATCCGCGCATGTAAGTGGCAGCAGGTGTGGTGGGGTGTGGCCTCTAGGACTCCATGTGGGGTCTGGTCGCTGGGGGCCCCAAGAGAAGTTCCTCGATCCCGGTGGTGCTCTGTGCTGTCTGTCTGAAACTGTCCCTTCTCTTTCTCCACGGGGTAGCATTCGTTTGATCTCTTTGGCTGCACAGAAGTTTATTTCTGACATTGCCAATGATGCGCTGCAGCACTGCAAGATGAAGGGAACAGCCTCAGGCAGCTCCCGCAATAAGAGCAAGGTGAGAGAAGGGCAGAATGGCTGCTCGCATGAGGAGCAACGTCCTTTCCTGGGGCTGTAGCAAGCTAAACTTGGCGCTGTTGAGTGCAGGGGTGTGGGTTGTAGAAAGCCTTGAACCTGCTGTGCTCCTGAAGGGTCAACACGCTCACTGGTAAGCTCTGGTTCTGCTGCTGGGAAAGGGACGCTGGCAGGAGAGTGAGGTGGGCAGTGGAGTTCGTGGAATGTGCTTTGGTGGCTTCACGGGAACACGTGAGTAGCTGCGCCTCATCAGACCGAGGGCCATCTCGTCCTGCGTCCTCCTCTGATGGCAACCAAAACTCAGACGCTTGGGGAAGAACATAAATGGGGAGCAAGAGTGTAGCCATAGGTTCTGGGAATTCTCCAAGTCATCATCTGTTTGTGGTTCAGGGGCCTCACGAGGGCAACGCAATTCATCTTTGTAGCGTTGTGTAATGCTCAGTGTCTGTCTGTCTGTCTGTCTGTTGAGCAGCTGAGGCACAGAGCAAACAAAACGAGCAGTACGTAAGAGCTGGCTGATTCCCCAAACGCTGCTCCGCAGCTGCTTCTGGGAACTGTGCACGTGTGGGTCACTACAGCTTATAGGGGAAAAATCGTAAACCCGCAAGGGCTTTTGAGGCTTGCCTGGCAGCTTGGATTGTCCTCGCTGTGACTGACGCTCCGCCTTGTCCTTGCAGGATAAGAAGTACACGCTGACCATGGAAGACCTGACACCAGCACTTGCAGAATACGGCATCAATGTGAAAAAGCCACATTACTTCACATGAGACTGAGGGATTGCCGCTGGGAACTTTTTTAGGGTCGCTTCTGTGCCATTAAACAGCTGGGTATTTTTTTCTGTGGAAAGGCATCTTGTCTCCTGCCCATGCACTGCCGCCCTGCCTGCGAGGGAGACGGCCCACAGGCAGCCCTGCTCGAGCCTCTGGTCTTGCTACGCCGGCGGAAGCTGGTCCTGTGCCGCGGGAGGGGCGGTTGTAGGGCTCAGAGCTGGTGGGTTGGAGCTGCGTCTCCTGCCATCACTGGAGGGCTCAGCCCTGCCCCAGGAAGCTGAAGGGAAGCGGGGAT